CGTAATTGTTTTGGACTTTTGGTCCGCGTTGTGTTCTTGCATTTTCTGTTTTGAATCCAACCGTATAAAGAACGTGAATTTTTGACGTACGGTTGGAAAGTTATAGGCAAAACACTGGACAGAGGTCGAAACTGAAAAACAGAGAAACGAATCTGCCCAAAAACGACCGGTCGTTACTGTTCACGACCGGTCGCTCATCACACGTTTATTGAAATTTCGACTCTGCCGAAAAACGACCGGTCGTCACTGTTCACGCGACCGGTCGTCACTGTTCACTGTTCACGGCACTGTTCACGGCTCACGGCACTGTTCACAGGTGATAAACAGGTGATAAAATGGCGATAGAAAGTGCTGTTTGTGTTTTTCTCTAGTTTTCTTGTGTTGTTCCATTTCTTTTGCACTTCTTTACTTATTTTTAGTTTCCATTTTGCATTTGCGTATTTGTGGTGTGTCAATTAAGTGTTCTTTACGTACTCAAATTAGAACTTATAGGGAGCCGACAAGTTCTTCGTGGGATCGACCCCGTACTTACATAATCTATACTTCAATAGATTCGTGCACTTGCGGGTATTTTTAATTGGTTGTTTGCACATTAATTTGTGTCCTTTTAGGAATGCAACAATCCCACTGGAAGATTTAAGTTGAAAAAAAAAAAACCACACATATTCTCAAGCAACATTTTTCTGATCAACTTCTAATACCAAACAATATATTAACTCTTATTCAAATCACAACATGAGTTGTTGAAATCAAGATAGAATACACATATGTAACATCTTAAGAGGAGAAGTTACCCACTTCCAAGGAGCATCTCAAGCAGGAAGATTCGGAGGCTTTAGATTGAGACTAGCAAAAATATTCACGAGATCTCTTTCTTCACTATCTGCATGATTATGTTCAACAACACAAGTGTTACCACATAAAGGAAGGAAGGTAGGTTCAATAAATGACAAGGCAAAAAAATTAATAACCACAGTCTCAACTATGCTACAATTTCAATGTTGCGAAGATATATACTCTTAACTTGTTAGAAAAGAATTGGACACCCAAAAATAACACCTAAATATATTACCAATTTTATTAAACTTAAAAGAAGACTTAAAGTATAACCAATTCTGCAGTTCCAAAATAAATAAAATAATAATTTGTAAGTCATATCCCATGCCTGGACTGGAAATAGGTGATGGGTGCCTCGTGGTTGAACTGAGCGTGGCTCCTTTACTATTTTGGACTCCATCTTCTTATAAGAAGTTTCACCAATTAACTAAGACATCCGTTAATTGCTTCTCCCCAATATGCTAATTTCCAGAAGCTAAGGAAGTCTTTGTTTCTCCTATAACTGAGATAAGAAATCATAAGCATTGCACATATAGCATCCATTTACCATAGGAATAAAATGCTATCTTCACATTTTTAGTAACACATCCAAAATATTTTGAACAAAAAAAGCTGAGTAGATACAACAAGTCTGTCTCAACACTTTTACTAACCCAATTCTATTGCATGAACTCTACAATAAGAGCAATTTATAATTTTTCTTTTTATAAGAAACACAAATTTAAGTTACAAACTTTCATTAAAACAAAGAAAGAGAATCATGATGCAGAAGACACTGTTGATAATAATGGTGAAGATTATTTGTACCATTCCTTATATTCAGTTATGATGATTTGACTTCAGTAGCGGGCAAAGTTGCATCCACTAGATGGTCACTGGACTGGAACCATATTCCTTTGAATTCTGCTAACCAAGAGGAGCCTTTGGTTCTGACAAAGACATAAGAGCAACCAATTGCACCACTAAGAGTATATCAAAAAGCAAAAACTTTTACTATCTAGCATGTACTCAATCATCCATATATACAAGGGGAGAATGGAGATGATGTGGCTCATAGAATCAAAGCTCGATAGGTAAAATGGAGGGTTTTGTTAAGCATATATATAGTCTGATCATCATATTTTGCTAGAATTGAAAGCTAAGTTTATAGAACATTTGTTAGACCAGCCACGCTATATGGGACTGAATGCTGGACAGTTAGAAAACAGACATATTCATAGTTCCTGTGGGTGCATATTAGCCAAATGTTACAACCAGCACAGGGATATGCACAATTCTATCTCTGTTTCTCTAACGGCATATTAGCCATCATTAGACACAAATTGTTAAGAGATCAGATTAAAATATTTGTCACCTTTTGAATCCTTCAAAATTGGAGATGTCTGCTGAATAATCTTTGCTATCCTTCAAAATTGAAGGGTCATTGCCTCAACCTTAAAAGCCTGGTTTTTATAGTGAAAGGGATGTCAATGAACTCGAGGTCAATCCTTTTTCTAAAGCATTTTCAGCTAATGAAGTCACATTCCTTTTACACTAAAGGAGGCTCGATAAACGATATTTCAGGTTCGTATGTTAATCTGGTGCTTTTGAAGTCAGTTTGAAAAGTTAAATATAATTAAGAGATTCCCAACCCTTGCGTTAGCAAATGCACCCTCTAATTTTTTTTATTTTTTTTCTTTGGAGTTGAGGTGGAGTTCACACAACAGAAACACAGATGCTCATACAAGAACAAATATAAAACCTTAAATGAATTAGATTTTTCACTTGAGGTGGTGTAATATTTTAATTTTTTCTTCTTCTGTTTTTTGGTGGGTTGGTTTTGGGTTCCTATGCAACAGGTTACAGGAGGAGGAGACAAATCTTTCTTTCTTTCCTTTTTCTCTCAGCAAATAAGAGGGCATGATCAAATGTCAAAATCTATAACAGAAATGCAATATCTAAAGAATGAAAAGCAGTCCAACAAAGAAGAAACTAGCAAATATTAGTGAATCAGCAAAACTTATGAATTTAGCAAATAAAGAACCTGAAGCCAGTTTGAAGCAGAAAAAACTTACTTGTGTAATATGAAGAGCCTGCTCAAGCCGCTGAATTTGAATCCATTGTTCTGTAACGATGTCAGCCATCTGAAAGCAAAGAGAAAGAAGCCAATGGGAATGGCAAAATGAACACCACACTAACAACATCACACACTCATAGCCATAGACCAACGATGGATTGAGTACATCAGTGCATGACCTTTTGAGCCTGAGAGGCAACCGAAAATGGGCCTAGGCGGGCGGCTAGGCGGTTAGGCGGGGGCTAGGCGGCTAGGTGGGCGCTAGGCGGCTGGGGGGTCCTCCTGGGCGGGTTGGATCTTTTTTCGGTGTCGAACCCGGAGGACGAAGCAGCCGAAACCAAAGAAAACAAATCGGAGCTTGAGTTGATATAGAGAAGCGAAACTTCGACTGCAACCTCCGTCCTCTGCGAGTGCAAGCAACGTGTTCGTTTTGAATATTTAAAGCGTATAGCCGACCGGCTATACTCTTAAAATATTAAAATATATTAAGGGCTCGTTTGGGAGTGCTTTTGGAGCAGCGAAAAGCGCTTCTAAATGGGTGAAAGCGCTTCTATCTTTTAAAAATGGTGTTTGGCAAAAATTGCAAAAGCGCTTTGGGTGAGATCCAAAAGCACTTGGAGTGGTTTTGGAAGAACCATTTCCAGTTCCCAAACTTCCAGACTAAGTTAGAACTTTGAAAAAATCCCCAAAGAAACCTCCCTATATAAATGAAGCCTTGAAAAACGTTGTGATCATATATGCCTGCATTTATTATCTTCGCAACAATAAACAGCTTCAGTTTAGCTTCTTTAGCCTTGAAATATACCAAAAACACATCAACCCGAGACAGAAAATAAGGAAAGAAAGTGAAAGGAGCAAGCAACCCAGAAAGACAGAACCCACTTGAGCTTTTCACATAGACAGAGAGACAAAAGACAGAGAAGCCGACCCTTTACAGGCGCATATCTCATGTTTATTTTTCTTGTTTGATTTTTTTGGTGTTTTCCCTTTTGCTTAAATTTATGGTTTGTTTGTCTATTTGTTGCCTCAGTCACTCCCTCGCTCACTACTTTCAAATTTCAGCACATATATACTTTCCATATATTTTGATTGAAATTGAATGAAAAGGAAAAAGACAGATGCATTAATGGAAAACATATATGGCTTTGTGAGAGATTAAAATACTGGGAAGGGTTGTCAATGCTATAAAGCGCTTATACTATGTCAACCAAACACTCAACAAAATATCAAAAGCGCTTTTATGTAGTGCAAAAGCACTTTTAAATGTGATATCCAAACGACAAACTGCTTCTTTGTAGAAGTGCTTATGTCATAAGTGCTACTAACATAAGCGCTACTGGCATAAGCGCTTTGGGAAGAAGCACTCCCAAACGAGCCCTAATATTTCTAACGTATAACCGAACTCCTATACTTTTAAAATATTCGAATGTATTTAGAAAGTATAGCCAACCGGCTATACGTTTAAAATATTCTGATGTATTTGGCGAGTATAGCCGAATGGCGATACTCTTTAAATATACAATTTTGTCACATCATTTTAAGGTTTGGGGCTGAAATACCACTTTAGTTCATTGGGCTAGAGTTATTTCTTCAATTATTTTATTTGTATAAGCGATATTGGGGAATGAGAATTTAAATTCTTTCCAATACCTCTCATTCTAATGATTTCTAGCTATTAGCCCATTGGGAAACAATAAAAAAAATGGATTTTATTTATAACAAATAACACGGGTTTAACCCATAAATACAACAACAAAAAATAGGATGTCAATGAACTCGAGGTCAATCCTTCTTCTAAAGCATTTTCAGCTAATAAACTCAAAGTCCTTGTACACTAAGGGAGGCTCGATAAACGATATTTCATGTTGGTGTGTTAATCTAGTGCTTTTGAAGTCAGTTTGAAAAGTTAAATATAATTAAGAGATTCCTAACCCATGCGTCAACAAATGCACCGTCTAAAGAAAACCTAGGTTTTATGCCTAACTATTTCCCATGTTTTATATCAGCTAACCTCTCCACACGTGCTTCCACGCCTGCTGAGGCTTTTTTAAAAAAATTTAAATTTATTTTAGAATTATAAAAGATAATGGGTAGTTGTGTTCCATAAAAATAGAATCTTTTATCTGATTTTTCTTTTAATTTCTTTAATGTTAAAAAGTGTGAATTTACCATATTATCCTCATTTAAGTAATAATTTCAATTCTTAATGTTTGCATTAACCAAGGGTATTTTATGGTATTTTGAATGTTTTACCATTCTCTGCCGTTTGCTTTATATATATATAGGTTATGGTACTTTATCATTTATATGTCCTTTTTATTTTGCATTATTTATGTATAAATTAATTTATAATTTATAATACAAAATAATTATAAAGAAATAAAACGCCTAGTCGATTACTCCTCCCACACCTGCCGCGTAGCGATTTTTAGAACATTGGTCAATCGACTCAATCTTCAATTAGTTACAACTTACAACGTCGTCAAGTGTACAGAAACGACATGTCGATGACTTTTGTATGGAATCCAATGGAAATGTATTCTAATAACAAACACGACAAGTACACTACTTTAAAATGAGCTCTTTTCTCTCCTTTAAGTAATTACCAAACTAAATTGTTTTTTTTTTTTTGGGTTTGAAAAGATGTTTTAATGGTTAAGCTCAATTCTTTTTCTTTTACTTATATGTTTGATAACTTAAATTTCTAATAACACTAGTATTCAAACGTACGTAATAAAAATATAAAGTTAATACCTTGGTCTTTATTTAGAAAATAAAATTAATAAATACATTGCTGCGAGATAATTTGAATTTTATGAAATGTTGGCAATTATAAAAAAAAAAAAATTTATTGATTATAAAATCAATAGTCTTTTTTCTCTTGGGTTGAAAGTAAGATCATTGTTCTTCTAACTGAAGGCATCCCCAAAGCACACGTTACATCCCTTTGCTGTTTATGTAAAACTCAATAAATTGTAAATGTGAAATTTACAGCTTAAAGTCTTTACTTGAGGCGATAGGTATACAACCTATAGTTATTTCACTTTGAATTGATATAGAACTATATATATAGGGGGTGGATCCATGACACTATATTTTTTACACAAGTTCTTGACCATTAGATTAACACATTATAAATGGATGATATTAAATCTCACAACTAATGGATTATTATCATGTTAACAATACTTTTATTCAAAAGTTATTATTATTTTATTAGAATAATTAAGATTAGCACGGGTCCCAAAACTCCCTCTTTTTCTCCATTTAAATCCCGCATCTCTCTTCCACAATGCCCACCCTTGGGTATCTATCAAATGTACAACCTAAACTCTCCAGTAGATGCTATGGCATCTTGGGAAAAGAGGATGATGCATGAAGAGGTCTGGGTGGACCGACCCCCATCATTCCTAACTCGTGTGGATGGACACCCAAAAATAACACCTAAATATATTACCAATTTTATGAAACTTAAAAGAAGACTTAAAGTATAACCAATTCTGCAGTTCCAAAATAAATAAAATAATAATTTGTAAGTCATATCCCTTGCCTGGACTGGAAATAGGTGATGGGTGCCTCATGGTTGAAATGTGCGTGGCTCCTTAACTATTTTGGACTCCATCTTCTTATAAGAAGTTTCACCAAGAACTAAGACATCCGTTAATTGCTACTCCCCAATATGCTCATTTCCAGAAGCTACGAAAGTCTTTGTTTCTCCTATAACTGAGATAAGAAATCATAAGCATTGCACATATAGCATCCATTTACCATAGGAATAAAATGCTATCTTCACACTTTTAATAACACATCCAAAATATTTTCAACAAAAAATGCTGAGTAGATACAACAAATCGGTCTCAACACTTTTACTAACCCAATTCTATTGCATGAACTCTACAATAAGAGCAATTTATCATTTTTCTTTTTATAAGAAACACAAATTTCAGTTACAAACTTTCATTAAAACAAAGAGAGAGAATCGTGATTCAGAAGACACTGTTGATAATAATAGTGAAGATTATTTGAACCATTCCTTATACTCAGTTCTGACGATTTGACTTCAGTAGCAGGCAAAGTTGCATCTACTAGATGGTCACTGGACTGGAACCATATTCCTTTGAATTCTGCTAACCAAGAGGAGCCTTTGGTTCTGACGAAGACATCAGAGCAACCAATTGCACCACTAAGAGTATATCAAAAAGCAAAAACTCTCACTATATCTAGTACGTACTCAATCATCCATATATACAAGGGGAGAATGGAGATGATGCGGCTCATAGAATCAAAGCTCGATAGGTAAAATGGAGGGTTTTGTTAAGCATATATATAGTGTGATCATCATATTTTGCTAGAATTGAAAGCTAAGTTTATAGAACATCTGTTAGACCACCCATGCTATACGGGACTGAAGGCTGGACAGTTAGAAAACAGACATATTCATAGTTCCTGTAGGTACATAGTAGCCAAATGTTACAACCAGCACAGTGATATGCACACCTCTATCTCTGTTTCTCTAACTGCATATTAGCCATTATTAGACACAAATTGTTAAGAAATCAGATTAAAATATTTGTCACCTTTTGAATCCTTCAAAATTGGAGATGTTTGCTGAATAATCTTTGATATCCTTCAAAATTGAAGGGTCATTGCCTCAACCTTAAAAGCCTGGTTTTTACAGTGAAAGGGATGTCAATGAACTCGAGGTCTATCCTTCTTCTAAAGCATTTTCAGCTAATGAAGTCACAGTCCTTTTACACTAATGGAGGCTCGATAAACGATATTTCATGTTGGTATGTTAATCTGGTGCTTTTGAAGTCAGTTTGAAAAGTTAAATATAATTAAGAGATTCCTAACCCGTGCATTAGCAAATGCACCCTCTAATTTTTTTTATTTGTTTTCTTTGGAGTTGAGGTGGAGTTCACACAACAGAAACACAGATGCTCATACAAGAACAAATATAAAACCTTAAATGAATTAGATTTTTCACTTGAGGTGGTGTAATATTTCTATTTTTTTTTTCTGTTCTTTGCTGGGTTGGTTTTGGGTTCCTATGCAACAGGAGGAGGAGACAAATCTTTCTTCTTCTTCTTTTTTTCTCTAAGCAAAGAAGAGGGCATGATCAAGTGTCAAAATCTGTAACAGAAATGCAATATCCAAAGAATGAAAAGCGGTCCAACCAAGAAGAAACTAGCAAATATTAGTGAATCAGCAAAACTTATGAATTTAGCAAATAAAGAACCTGAAGTCAGTTTGAAGCAGAAAAAACTTACTTGTGTAATATGAAGAGCCTGCTCAAGCCGCTGAATTTGAATCCATTGTTCTGTAACAATGTCAGCCATCTGAAAGCAAAGAGAAAGAAGCCAATGGCAAAATGAAAACCACACTAACAACATCACACACTCATAGCCATAGACCAAAGATGGATTGAGTACATCAGTGCATGGCCTTTTGAGCCTGAGAGGCAACCGTTTCGAGTCTATCCTCGGCATCTTGTGCTTTAGACTCTAAAACATGAAGATCGAAGTTGTACTTTCTTGATGCAGCCCACAGAAGCCGTACCTAAAAAGCATTGCAGAGCCCATTTCTCAAATCCAACAAACCCTTTCTGCTACTTTTTCATTGAATTGAAAATTGCAAAAAATAAATTGAAAAAGATGTGAACCTCTTCTTCTAGAGCATTAAGCCTCTCATCAGTAGCCAATGAGTCTCTGTGACATACAAATGCTACCAAATATTATATATTTGCTTTCAATTTAGCATATACTTAAAGCTGAAGATTTTATGCTGAAACGGGAAACAAACCTTAAGAGTGAACAAAACAGACTGCAAATGATGGATCTTCTGCAAATGATGTATCTGGGTTTAAAAGAAGTATGGAACTCAAGGAATGTGAGATGTTGTGCATGAAGAACTGCTCCTGCACAGCTTTTGCAAACTTGGATACCAGGGATGGAGGAAGTGGGTGCCTGCTGTGGTTCAGTGAGCTGATTGATGTAAGAAATTTCACTGAAAATGGGCAAGATATTTATTTTAGAATGGCAGCATCAGAACTAGGTATCGAGTCATTTTTAATCTCAAAAGTCAGTGTGTTAATGCAAATTTTAAAGAAAGAAAAAAGAAACATCTTTAGATATGGAACAGTCAATTGGGAGTTATCCATCTCTTCACGATCATGTACAAAAAGTAAAGTCAAAACATAACAAACCCAAAGGTTGTTACTCTATAATTTTGGATTTGGACACAATTATCAAACTCTACTTTCAAAATTCGTTTGTTAAGATCAATGGATGATAGACATTACATAAGTTTTTTTTTTCTTTCTTTATCAATATCTAACTTCTCACTCTTTTTGCTTTCAAATATATTTCCTGCCTAGATCATGAAGACTATACAACAATCAGTGCTAAACCTGCTAAACCCAATTTCCGCCCCAGGGGGTTAGACCACTTGGGTTATATTTTATAGTCTCATTGAATGTGAAGAAAGTAAGAATCATAGTAGGCAGTATTGTGTCATCTCCTGGGCTCCTCCTGGGTGTAGCTCTGTTTTTTCTAATGTTTGGAAGAAGCAGCACCAGATAGATGGTAAGTTGTTTTCTAGTCTTCTTTGGAAAATAGAGAGCAACTTGGTTATTTGAAAATTTAACTGCAATGGCCTATTGCGATATAGATGACATGATGTTAGAATTGAAAAAAAATTGAGAAATGTGTGTCAAATTATAGGATAGCAACTCCCAATTGGAGATGCTCTTATTGGTACTTCTCTTGGGCATTTGTCCATTAAAGTCAAATGTGGGGTTCATCTCTTCTACTCTCTTCTTTTTTTTTGCCTCATTTGGCAACTCACTGAAGTATTAACTTGAGGGGGACAAAAAAACTGAAAGAGAGAAAAAGATAGGAAGAATTAAAACAAGTATACAATTCAGAAAATTGCAGCTTCCTTTGAGTTGATTTCGTATTTGATTCTGGAAGACTAACCAAGTGAGTGGATGACCACAAATGATTTAGATTTTTCCACTAGAGGAGCGCTACTAATAGTCAATTGTCAGGCAAGACACCATCATTCTTGAACTAAATTTGAAGTAAGCCCACTTTTGATTGAAGAGAATTTTCTCCATTTCACACTGGAGAGAGTGATGTTAATTTGCATTCAATTACGCATCTAAATTTGATATGACGTGCATCGATATTGTCGATAATGCATCAGTAATGTGTTTACATTGATAATTGATATTTTGCGAAAACGAATTCTACTCCAAGCTACGGTGAAAGGGGATCCCTTAAGAGAAATTCATCCTATTTATCTGTCCTTGGAACTTTAGTAATTTGCCTCCCCACTATTCAACTTTAGTATTGATAGCTTACTAATTGTCTTCCCAGCTACTCAACTTAAACTATATACTGTAGGGTTTCTAATTTCTAATCAAGTTTCCAATGCTGCTAATTGTGAGATTGTTTAAGGTGAGAGACAGTTACAGAAAACTTTATCAAATTAATACAATTATCTTCTAATTAGAGTCAGACTCTCCATATATAGTGCAGACTAAAAGAAACACACCCCTCATTGCTTCATCAGGTGTACTCAAGGTGAGCAGCCCTGGAATTCTTGTCCTTGCTGACCATAAGAACACTATCAATCTATTGGTAGTCTCTAATGAAAATGTCTTGTTCCTGTTAGTTGGAAAGAGTCAATTTCCCCTCTCATTCTCTCTGAGTTTCTAATTTTTTTTGTTTGGCTTGGTTCCTGGCATTACATGGTAGTCTTTAACCCACCAATGAATTCTCCAGGTGTGGCTGCATCAAGGATGAAGCCTTCCCTAAAGAAAAAAACATCAATGAAGCTTTGGAGAGCACTTAATTAACTTGATATATGTAAATATGTAAAACAGCAGCCATGACAAAACAGTGCATTCAGAACATCAACATAGGATGCAAAAGCGATCCCACCGGAAGATTTAAGTTGAAAAAAACAAACAAACAAACCACACATATTCTCAAGCAACATTTTTCTGATCAACTTCTAATACCAAACAATATATTAACTCTAATTCAAATCACAACATCAGTTGTTGAAATCATGATAGAATAAAGGAACAAACTTTAAGTTACACAAATCACAACAAGAGTTGTTGAAATATTTCCAAAATTCATACGAATGACAAAAAAAATGCTGGTCTCTTTGCATTGCAGGCTCCAAAATCTAGCAAGGAATTCTTCATGGGGTCTTGGACACACCCAATCTGCAATCTGGGTTTCATTTACTTTTAATGACCTTGAACTTTCTCCTATCACAAATTATGTTAAACCTTCTATATGTTAGAATTTTACCACTCATCTTTAGGGCTGTAGTGCTAAATGGACAATGCTGACTTTCGCGATCTGTAGAGATCCGTATCGGTGGTCTTCTTTTGTGTGTTTGTGTCTGAATGCTCAAACGTCCGGTTTCATATGTGACGCATATCAAACCTTAGTTGATTGCTTAACATGAATTTATAGTAATATATTTTATTAATTTCCTAACATGATTTTGATAAGTCATGGGTTATGAGAAGACTGTCTTTTGCAGCACTGGATTAATTTTTAGTTGTGGAGCACAGAGTCACTGCACCATGATGTCAAGAGACTGTTTTCTAACTGACTGAGGGTTATCCGTTTTCCTTCATTGTTTGTCCTTTTTTAACATAGTCAGGCTTGTAAACTGACTTTGCCCTTGCAGGGATATGTGAGTTGCAGAAAGAGAATCGTGATATGTGAGCAATTTATAATTTATAATTTTATAAGAAACACAAATTTAAGTTACAATCTTTCATTAGAACAAAGAAAGAGAATCGTGATGCAGAAGAGACTGTTGATAATAATAGTGAAGATTGTTTGTACCATTCCTTATATTCAGTTCTGATGATTTGACTTCAGTAGCAGGCAAAGTTGCATCTACTAGATGGTCACTGGACTGGAACCATATTCCTCTGAATTCTGCTAACCAGGAGGAGCCTTTGGTTCTGACGAAGACATAAGAGCAACCAATTGCACCACTAAGAGTATATCAAAAAGCAAAAACTTTCACTATCTAGCATGTACTCAATCATCCATATATACAAGGGGAGAATGGAGATGATGTGGCTCATAGAATCAAAGCTCGATAGGTAAAATGGAGGGTTTTGTTAAGCATATATATAGAGTGATCATCATATTTTGCTGGAATTGAAAGCTAAGTTTATAGAACATCTGTTAGACCAGCCACGCTATATGGGACTGAATGCTGGACAGTTAGAAAACAGACATATTCATAGTTCTTGTAGGTACATATTAGCCAAATGTTACAACCAGCACAGTGATATGCACACCTCTATCTCTGTTTCTCTAACGGCATATTAGCCATTATTAGACACAAATTGTTAAGATATCAGATTAAAATATTTGTCACCTTTTGAATCCTTCAAAATTGGAGATGTTTGCTGAATAATCTTTGATATCCTTCAAAATTGAAGGGTCATTGCCTCAACCTTAAAAGCCTGGTTTTTATAGTGAAAGGGATGTCAATGAACTCGAGGTCAATCCTTCTTCTAAAGCATTTTCAGGTAATGAAGTCACAGCCTTTTACACTAAAGGAGGCTCGATAAACGATATTTCATGTTGGTATGTTAATCTGGTGCTTTTGAAGCCAGTTTGAAAAGTTAAATATAATTAAGAGATTCCCAACCCATGTGTTAGCAAATGCACCCTCTAATTTATTTTATTTGTTTTCTTTGGAGTTGAGGTGGAGTTCACACAACAGAAACACAGATGCTGACACAAGAACAAATATAAAAGCTTAAATGAATTAGATTTTTCACTTGAGGTGGTGTAATATTTCAATTTTTTTTTCTTTCTGTTTTTTGGTGGGTTGGTTTTGGGTTCCTATGCAACAGGTTACAGGAGGAGAGACAAATCTTTCTTTCTTTCCTTTTTCTCTCAGCAAACAAGAGGGCATGATCAAATGTCAAAATCTATAACAGAAATGCAATATCCAAAGAATGAAAAGCAGTCCAAACAAGAAGAAACTAGCAAATATTAGTGAATCAACAAAACTTATGAATTTAGCAAATAAAGAACCTGAAGCCAGTTTGAAGCAGAAAAAACTTACTTGTGTAATATGAAGAGCCTGCTCAAGCCGCTGAATTTGAATCCATTGTTCTGTAACAATGTCAGCCATCTGAAAGCAAAGAGAAAGAAGCCAATGGCAAAATGAACACCACACTAACAACATCACACACCAATTTAATTACAAAAAAGAAAATAAAAAAACCTAAAGAAACTAATTTGATATTGCACACAGCCGCCCAAGCCGCCTAGCCCGATTTTTCGAAAATTTCCTTGTGATTCTTTGTGTCATCGGCTTGATCTTTCCTCTTCTGTTGCCTGCGTCAATTCTGTTCAAGCATGCAATTGAAAATTATCGTTGATGTTGTCTGCTAAGGAACAAATAGCATGAGAAGATCACCTGTTAGACACTTTTGTTGAGAATTTCGTACTGGAAATCAAAGTCCCACTTCGGGTAAGTCCTCAAAATCCTCAAAATAATCTTGTTCTGGTCTATTTCTTTGTTGTTTTGACAAGGAAAACTGTATTCACGCAATCTCTTTCTTCACCATCTGCATGATTATGTTCAACAACACAAGTGTTACCACATAAAGGAAGGAAGGTAGGTTCAATAAATGACAAGGCAAAAAAATTACCAACCACAGTCAAAACTGTGCTACAATTTCAATGTTGCGAAGATATATACTCTTAACTTGATAGGAAAGAATTGGACACCCAAAAATAACACCTAAATATATTACCAATCTTATTAAACTTAAAAGAACACTTAAAGTATAACCAATTCTGCAGTTCCAAAACAAATAAAATAATAATTTGTAAGTCATGTCCCTTGCCTGGACTGGAAATAGGTGATGGGTGCCTCATGGTTGAACTGTGCGTGGCTCCTTTACTATTTTGGACTCCATCTTCTTATAAGAAGTTTCACCAATTAACTAAGACATCCGTTAATTGATTCTCCCCAATATGCTCATTTCCAGAAGCTACAGAAGTCTTTGTTTCTCCTATTACTGAGATAAGAAATCATAAGCATTGCACACATATAGCATCCATTTTGAAATTGATACTTAGGTGACGAGGGGTAAATTTAACTAAACAAACAAAACACAACAACTCAACAATCAAGAGAACACACAGAGCATGCCACAAAGTACCTGCGGCCCTAGAAGATTACTAGTGACAACCTAGGCACTCAGAATGACCCATCAATCTAGGCATCCCCTGTGCTAGCAACAACTATGGTGAAAGTGTGTGAAGTCATCATTATCAAGTAAACAGCAAACAGCAGATATAGATGACTAGTCAACCAACAAGAACACAAAACCCAGAAAAATTTACAGATAGCAAAACAGATTTTGTTTAATCAGAAACCCACCATTGGGAAAAACTGGGAGTCATCAACCGACTAGGCAATCCACTAAGTAGAAAAAGATTCTTACAAAGGAATACAAGCAAGCTCAAGCAAAACCTAGATCTATTTAGGAAGATGAGTTTTACCTCCTTTGTGCAATTTTCTTCTCTAACTTAGCAAAGCTTGAAGCTTAGTTCTTCATGGCAATGGCAGCTCCTTCTCCAGCTCGATCATCCCATGGCACTAGCTTGCAAGCTCCAACTCAGACCGAAACCAAACTTTGGATTCAATGGAGAATGACCAATTTCTTCAAGAAACCATACTCTTGAAGAAATCAGTCTTGAATCTGACCTAGATCTAAATGAGAGAATGATTTAAATAGCTAGATGCAGATTCATATTTCAAAAGCAGTTTTTCAAAAAGAAATCAATTAGAAAAACTCATAGATGAAATAAATGGTTTCCTCTTGAGAAGGAAGAAGAGAAAGATGGCAAGCCAATCTTTCCAAAACTTCCACACAAAAGAGACGGCTTCCAAATGAGGAATTCACTAGCCTTTACAGACAAAAGAATCCCTTAGGTCAGACTGACACATGGCAGCAGAGAGAGAAAAGAGAATAGGACAAAACAGTTGGTTAACCAGCTGGAAATCCTACAGAGCAAGGATGACTAGTCATCATTTATGAAAACAGTTTTAATGCATGATATGCAATGGATGATTTACCTTTGTCAAATTGCTTGAACCTCCATAGGATAGATGAGAGGAAAGAACACTTAGAGATGCTATTCTTAATCTAACCTTGAGCTTGATAAATACATATAAAAGTCCTATTACAAAATTGTCAGGGGAAGCCAAAAGAATTAATCAAAATTCATACATTAACACATTTACCATAGGAATAAAATGCTATCATCACACTTTTAATAACAAATCCAAAATATTTTGAACAAAAAAAGCTGACTAGATACAACAAGTCTGTCTCAACACTTTTACTAACCCAATTCTATTGCATGAACTCTACAATAAGGGCAATTTATAATTTTTCTTTTTATAAGAAACACAAATTTAAGTTACAAACTTTCATTAAAAGAAAGAAAGAGAATCGTGATGTAGAAGAGACTGTTGATAATAATAGTGAAGATTATTTGTACCATTCCTTATACTCAGTTCTGATGATTTGACTTCAGTAGCAGGCAAAGTTGCATCTACTAGATGGTCACTGGACTGGAACCATATTCCTTTGAATTTTGCTAACCAAGAGGAGCCTTTGGTTCTGACGAAGACATAAAAGCAACCAATTACGCTACTAAGAGTATATCAAAAAGCAAAAACTTTCACTATCTAGCATGTACTCAATCATCCATATATACAAGGGGAGAATGGAGATGATGTGGCTCATAGAATCAAAGCACGATAGGTAAAGTGGAGGGTTTTGTTAAGCATATATATAGTGTGATCATCATATTTTGCTAGAATTGAAAGCTAAGTTTATAGAACATCACCAGCCACGCTATATGGGACTGAATGCTGGACAGTTAGAAAACAGACATATTCATAGTTCCTGTAGGTACATAGTAGCCAAATGTTATAACCAGCACAGTGATATGCACACCTCTATCTCTGTTTCTCTAACTGCATATTAGCCATTATTAGACACCAATTGTTAAGAGATCAGATTAAAATATTTGTCACCTTTTGAATCCTTCAAAATTGGAGATGTTTGCTGCATAACCTTTGCTATCCTTCAAAATTGAAGGGTCATTGCCTCAACCTTAAAAGCCTGGTTTTTAAATGAATTAGATTTTTCACTTGAGGTGGTGTAATATTTCTATTTTTTTTTCTATTTTTTGGTGGGTTGGTTTTGGGTTCCTATGCAATAGGTTACAGGAGGAGGAGACAAATCTTTCTTTCTTTCTTTTTTCTCTCAGCAAACAAGAGGGCATGATCAAATGTCAAAATCTATAACAGAAATGCAATATCCAAAGAATGAAAAGCAGTCCAACCAAGAAAAAACTAGCAAATATTAGTGAATCAGCAAAACTTATGAATTTAGCAAATAAAGAACCTGAAGCCAGATTGAAGCAGAAAAAACTTACTTGTGTAATATGAAGAGCCTGCTCAAGCCGCTGAATTTGAATGCATTGTTCTGTAACAATGTCAGCCATCTGAAAGCAAAGAGAAAGAAGCCAATGGCAAAATGAACACCACACTAACAACACCACACACTCATAGCCATAGACCAAAGATGGATTGAGTACATCAGTGCTTGGCCTTTTGAGCCTGAGAGGCAACCGTTTCGAGTCTATCCTCGGCATCTTGTGCTTTAGACTCTAAAAAATGGTCCTAGGCGGGCGGCTAGGGGGGCTGCTAGGCGGCTAGGCGGGCGCTAGGCGGCTAGGCGGCGCTAGGCGGCTGGGCGGGCCTCCTAAGCGGGTTGGGTCTTTTTTCGGTGCCGAACCCGGAGGACGAAGCAGCCAAAACCGAAGAAAACAAATCGAAGCTTGAGTTGATAGAGAAGCGAAACTTCGACTGCAACCTCCGTTCTCTGCGATTTCAAGCTTCATGTTCGTTTCGAATATATTTAAAGGGTATAGCCGTGCGGCTATACTTCTAAAATATTTGAATATATTAATATTTCAAGCGTATAGCCCAACGCCTATATTTTTAAAATATTCAAATGTATTTAGAAAGTATTGCCGACCGGCTATACGTTTAAAATATTCTAATATATTTGGCAAGTATAGACGATCGGCTATACTCTTTAAATATACAATTTTGTCATATCATTTTAAGGTTTGGGGCTGAAATACCACTTTAGTCCATTGGGCTAGAATTATTTCTTCAATTATTTTATTTGTATAAGCGATATTGGGGAATGAGAATTTAAATTCTTTCCAATACCTCCAATTCTAATGATTTCCAGCTATTAGCCCATTGGAGAATAATAAAAATATAAAGTTAATACCTTGGTCCTTATTTAGAAAATAAAAGTAATACATACATTGCTGCGAGATGATTTGAATTTTATGAAATGTTGGCAATTAAAAAAAAATGAATTTTATTGATTATAAAATCAATAGTCTTTTTTCTCTTGGGTTGAAAGTAAGATCAGTGTTCTTCTAACTGAAGGCATCCCCAAAGCACACGTTACATCCCTTTGCTGTTTATGTAAAACACAATAAATTGTAAACGTGAAATTTACAGCTTAAAGTCTTTACTTGAGGCGATAGGTATACAGCCTATAGGTATTTCACTTTGAATTGATATAGAACTATATATATATATATATATATATGTATTTTTGACACAAGTTCTTGACCATTAGATTAACACATTATAATATTCGAATGTATTTAGAAAGTATAGCCGGCTGGCTATACGTTTAAAATATTCTAATATATTTGGCAAGTATAGACGATCGGCTATACTCTTTAAATATACAATTTTGTCATATCATTTTAAGGTTTGGGGCTGAAATACCACTTTAGTCCATTGGGCTAGAGTTATTTCTTCAATTATTTTATTTGTATAAGCGATATTGGGGAATGAGAATTTAAACTCTTTTCAATACCTCCCATTCTAATGATTTCCAGCCATTAGCCCATTGGGCAACAATAAAAAAAATGGATTTTATTTTTAACAAATAAGAGGGGTTTAACCCATAAAAACAACAACAAAAAATAGGATGTCAATGAACTCGAGGTCAATCCTTCTTCTAAAGCATTTTCAGGTAATGAACTCAAAATCCTTTTACACTAAGGGAGGCTCGATAAACGATATTTCATGTTGGTGTGTTAATCTAGTGCTTTTGAAGTTAGTTTGAAAAGTTAAATATAATTAAGAGATTCTCAACTCATGCGTCAACAAATGCACCGTCTAAAGAAAACCTAGGTTTTATGCCTAACTATTTCCCAAGTTTTATATCAACTAGCCTCTCCACACACGCTTCCGTGCCTGCGTGAGGCTTTTTAAAAAAAAATTAAATTTATTTTAGAATTATAAAAGATAATGGGATTGTGTTCCATAAAAATAGAATCTTTTATCTGATTTTTCTTTTAATTTCTTTTAATGTTAAAAAGTGTGAATTTACCATATTATCCTCATTTAATTAACAATTTCAATTCTTAATGTTTGCATTAACTAAGGGTATTTTCTGGTATTTTGAATGTTTTACCATTTTCTGTGTTTTGTTTTATATAT